GCGGATCGCGCAAGACCCCCTGTAGGGCGGATTACCGACCTCCAAAACCCCGGGGAAGGCTGGTGTTTCTCGACTTGTGATTTTTGACAATGCCGGCAATTCGCGCCTCCGCCTAACTGCTGCTCTGTTACAAAGTTGTTCTTACCCATTCTAGAGCCAAGACTTGAAACATGGTCGACCAACGTGCTGAAAGATCTAGTACCACCCAATGGTGTATGAGTGACAAAACGCACTGTCCTACCCCCACTGAGTAAGACAATACGGTTAATATTTCTAGGACAAAAGGAGGAGATTTTTATCAGAGCTTTTATCAATAATTAATGATGGGACAGATTTACCTAAAATACAATCAAAATTTGCCAGTTGTTTCATGGTATAGATAAATTGGGTTCTGTGTAAWCTTTGCGATTAAAAAAATGGTAAAGCAATTAATTCTATTGAGCCCTGAAAATTAATGAATAAAAGGATGTAATGGTTGATTTGATAAATGAGAAAGACGATAGATGAATGGAAGGGTTGATGGGTGGAGGGATGGAGGGATGGATTAGTGAAAGGATGGATGGAGGAGAGTGGCTTGATTTAAGAATGGTTGGGTGAGTAGATCACAATAGACCTTTAATTGCTCTATTTCACTATGACGTCACATCAAAACAATCTATTGTTTAAACGTAAAGGATCATGGCCGTTGGAGGGGGTCAAATCAAGGCAAATTCACCGAAAATTGTTCTAAAACTCGTATCAATCCATGAAGAGAAGTAGAATAGCCAGCAAAGGCTCGGAATATTTTTTAGTACATATTAACACATATTATATCTGAAAACCAGGCTTTTTTAGATTAAACTGTTTCACTAGCAGCAAATTTTGTTGAATTTTCTATTTTACAATAACTTACAAATTTCTCGCGCACTGATTGATTATTTTTCATCATCAATAAAAGGACAGACAGATAAAGCTGACGTCAACGACCGAGCGCTCTTTCCGTTGGTTGTTTTGATCACTAAAAATGAGAAGTTTTTATCGTTTTTGTTATTGTAAAAAACAAATAGACATTAGTTTTTTATGTGTCTGTCCTCTTATTGATAATAAATTTCGTCGTCACATTGTCAAAGCAGTATGCGGAGCCACTCGGCTATGCCTCGTGAATCCACACTACTTTGACAATGTGATGACGCAATTTACTGTCAATAAGAGGACAGACACATAAAAAACTGATGTCTATTTGTTAATTGGATTTGGCGATTCTATCCCCCACATAAACAAGCAGTGAGGTCATAGTGAATTAGGTCAATTCCCAAGATACAGTTGAGTGCTCAAGGGATCTACATTTACTTGCCAAGAGCTTTTTTTTCTTATTGGACTATTGAAAAGTGAGACAAAAAGGTGCTGATAAATCAGCAGCATGCAACATGGAACACTCTTTCATCATCCTTTTTTAAAATAGCTGACTGTGTAGGCATTAAATATTACACCAGCATTTAACTGTATCTTGGTAAAGGCCTTAGGATTGAATGATTTGGATTATTATTTAATAAATATTCCAGAAATATAGCAGAAAACTTTCTACCTAACACTCTAGCAACATTGCGCACACTATAAGATCCTTAAAACTTGCGCATGCAAACATCTTCCATTACACTGATAAAGGTCTTTGTTAAGACCGAAACGTCTGTTTAAAAAAAGTTTAAATCACAATGAATATTTGTGCAGATTAATCAACGATTACCTTAGGCAATAAATCCATCCTGTAGCTGATAGAAACATTCCTACTGACACAGCAAAAACTGACAAAAATACAGGACTTTTCTGAAATACATAATTGTAAAAATCATAAATTGAAGTTCAAGAGGACACTTAAAATAGTGTTTGACCTTTGCCCTTTATTTGTTCCTCTAATAAACTAAAGTATCAAAATAATCAGCATAATTACTTGTCATGAAATCTTTTAATTTAAATGAAATTTCAAATTGAAAAAAAAAACCCTGTTAATTTCCAAGGTCAAAATCATAGTTGGTTTGGTCATTTATGATTAAGGGACAAATCATTGTTCATTGGGGAGAGGGAAGGGCAGTGGTAATCATGCACTCACTATCCCATTCCAGAAATCTGACCCCCTCTCTATTAAGGCATAAAAAACGGATCCTCTCTGCTTTTCCTTCTATTTATTGTAAAAGTGCTGATTTAAGTCATTTAATAATACAGCATTAAAAGTACCTCAATATAGGCCACTATCTTCCATGCTTTACTTTCAGATCTAGAAAAGCATTGAAACATGGGTTTAGTTTAATTACCCCCCTACCATTATCCACAGATAACAGATGTTTGGGCTGAATACAGGTTATTGACCAATGGAACATGGTATACGTAAGATACAAAGCTGTCATTAAACTGGAGAAAAAAGGCATACCAGGGTAGGAAGGGTGGGTAAATGACTGAGCTGGCACGGTGATCAGCGTTACTCGATGAGCGCTGCCAACTGAATAGTCCGGTGACAGTCATGTGACTACCTTCCCTGGAATGCAACTAATCTTGTGGGTATTAACTATTATTAGCGTGCGCTAATAATTAACCATGTATTATATAGCACCTCATGAAATCAGTCAGAATAAAGGAAGTCACAGCAAGTTATGACAATTATATACTGACAAACTTACTTGAATGAATCAATTTCTTTAGTTTTCTCTTTCTCAGCTAAGCCAGCCAAAAGCTGTGGTCTTGTTGTGTATTGAAAATGAGCCAAGTAGATCCAAAACACAAACTGACTACTGGATGCTATGCCAACAAGACGAAAGAACTTTCTTCTGTCATGGTAAAATATGGTAGCATCTTTGACTACTGTAGTCCTCGTTTGGTATAACCTTGTTGTATGCTGGAAAGACATAATGGACTGGTCGTTATTTAATGTTTATTTATGGGGGGAGGGGGAGCGGAGGATATAGGGAATCACATGGCTTTTAGAGTCAACTGGAGGGGGAATTCCCCCTCCAGTTGACTCTAAAAGCCATTTGATTTCAGCTAAAATTTTACAGGTATCAAAAGAAGGGATTAGAAGGGGGATCATATATAAAAATAGTGCTTTTTTTTTGTGGGGGGGGGGGGGAGGGGGATCGATTAATCTTTATGATGTTTCAAAATCCTCCAACCCCTCCCTCCAGTACAAAATAATAGCTGTTCACTAAAGACATTTATACAGCTATATTTTACACATTTATACAGTTTATACAGCTTCTAAATATATCAAGTATTACTTCCAAATCATCTCCAAATACGAATGCTTCACTGTCATCCAACATATTTTGTTTTGTGTGCATGGTCAGTGTCACATGATGGTACTGTTCAACATCAAATGCAAAACAATAGGCTGGTCCTTTGAAGTTTGCTGGGTTTCCTAACCATTCCCCTCTGTTAACTATGCTAAAGGCATTGCATAGACTCGGATGTTGGATGATACAGTTTAACAAAAGACACATGGCAACCATGTTGGATGATATAACAAAAGAGACTAATAATGACAACTCTTATTATTTACGAAACGCTTTCGGGAGCCAGAACCTTTTCCTCGGCCAATATATCAACAGAATAAGATACATATGTCAAGAAGACGGAGAGAACTAATCGCCCTCTTGTAAGGCAAAAATAAAACAAGACTCAACATGCAACTCTACCTGTATGATTTTTTTCTTTATTGCAGACAGAGCGCTTCCAGTTATGGCACATCTTGATAAGAACTTCAACATCTTTACATATATTCATAGGTGTTTAAGATAGACATACTTATTTTGAAGGTCCGTCCGCCATCTTGGATGCGAAGCACATGGTGGACTGGAAACTAGGACCCAATTTTATCGCAGGAAGCCCAAGCTTATTTTGTTACAAAAAATCCTACTTCCTCTAAAAATGGGCAAGACAAGAAAGAACGAAAGGAAGGAAGGAAGAAAGAAAGAAAAAAAGAAACAATAGTAGTAAGGAAATTACTAATTAAAGAAACAGCATTTTGTTTTCTTTTGATAGCAAAAGCTCTTGATCAGTCTACCTGGAATCGAAAACGTGCGGCATTGCAAGTGTGCGCAACCTCTTTCGTCTCTCTCGTGTCATGAACGGATAAAAAAAACTAATGTTTTACAACCATTACCCCCAGGCTATACACGCATTACCTCTACAGTTATTATTTATGTTACAAAACACGCGACGACACTCACAACTGGCTCGGTATTAACTAAATTAATCAATTCTTTTTTACATATTAATGTCTACTGATTTGACCTACTTTTATTCACGGAGACCCCGGAGAAAACTCTCAAAGCATTACCATGCGCAACGGCCCAAAGGGATGGGATATGAGGGGGGGAGAGGGGGGGGGGAGGGGGGGGGGTGTTTATCAAACAAACTCAAATTCTATCCAGATGTCGTCAATTCACCGGGATTGAAATGACCAGTGGCCAGTGACTTGCGGATATGTCAGGTCTCACCGAGGTGAAAGGAAACTGTTTGAAACGCCATGATCAGAACCACGGAGCAAGATTATGAGGGGGTAGAGGTAGGGAGCAGGAGTGGATCCAGCTAGGGGGATGGGGGATTCGGAGGGGGTCAGAAACCTTCTGATTGAAATGATTTTATGTTTTGTTTTGCCATCGATTTGAAGACAATTTTGTATTAAAGATTAAAATAAACGTAATTCCAAAATAAAACAATATTTTTAATTACAACAAGTGGTTATGAAAAGGTCCACTGCAGGCTTTGCTTTGAATACGTTTGGACCCCTCCCCAGTGCAATACATTGATCCGCCCTTGGGGGGCAATGGCTTAGATTTCAAAATATATAGCTTGTAGTTTAGTATGCATGCATTACATTTAAAGTGGAACTAGCACGAAAATCTTCCGAAATTTAATTTGGCTGAAACTTCAATGGAATAATCTCTTAAGGGTTAAATATTCACTGGTCAAAGTTTTTTCTTTATATTCCAATGGGAAGTATTATATTTTTACGAATTTCTATAGGTGTCTGTGGCGCCATACACTCAATACTAAACATCGCTCCATACATTTCTTTATAAATAACTTCATGTTTTACTTTAATTCCATTAAGCCCAAAGGTCCGCTCAGGGACTTAGGTTAGAATCCTTTTATGGTATCTTTTCTTCAATACTGAGTATAAAACTAGAAGATATTTTGATTACAAAATACAAAGAAATGTATGGAGCGATGTTTAGTGTTGAGTGTATGACGTCACAGACTCCTATAAAAATTCGCAAAAATATAATACTTCCCATCCGAATATCAGGAAAAAACTTTAACCAGCGAAAAGTATACCTTTAAGGGTTATTCCATTAAAGTTTCGGCTGAATTAAAATTCGGATGAACTGATTTAGTGGATATTTTATATAGGCCATGAAAAAACAAATAGTTGATATTAAATCATCTCTGATTTCACTTGAAAAATACTTATCATGATAACTATGTAAAGTTTCGATTCCGCAGCTGAAAATTAGAATGTTATCTTCAAATATAAGCTGATTTCTTCTGATATAGAGTTTTTCTTCTTTATCATTAAGAGCTAAAAAGACAGGGGAAATATTTAAAACGAAATGGCAAAGATACTATGAGAACTTTCTCGTTAGAAAACTGCGTAAAGAGTGCGCCTGGAAGAAAAATCTCTTATAGAAAAATCTAAATGGATTTACCACTTCATGGTGAACGGAAAGCCTAACAGGTTTTATAAGGACATCCGGCACTTGATAAAGCTACCGATAGACCAAATTAGAATTTAGCTAGAAGTGAATTTTTGTGGAGGGCGGGAAAATAGAGCACGGACTACCGAATTATTAAAGAGAAAAAACGAACTTTCTCCTGCCAAAAATATAAAATAAATAAATCACTTTTATTTAAGTGTCTAGTCGTTCTAACTGGGGACACTTTTATTCTAATTGGGGACACTTTTCGCTCACACGCACACAACGCTCAACTCAAATGTTGATTTTCACGGAGGGAGGAAACCGGAGAAAACCCTCGTAGCATAGGAGAGAACAACACATCAAACAAACTCAATTCACATGTGGCTACCTCAGGGCTCGAACCAGCGACCCGACCCCTTGGGACTCACAGCGGTGAGACGATGCGTTAGCCACGAACGCCACCCATGCTACCCGAGATCAAGCATTACATCGCTACTAATACCAACCCAAAGCACGAGCATGCTTTTCTCCGGCTCCAAGTCAAAAAAAAAAAAAGTTTGGGAAAATAAATTTAGATATAGTTACGCGCAATTAAGTGAAAAAGTMATTAACGAAGCAACTTGTCAGTGAGCAAATTACATGTACTAATCATAAATAACCTGTGTTCATAAAAGGATCTTTCTAGTGGAATAAAGCTTCTACGTAGCTCTATCTTTACGCCATGGACTCTTCTCGAGAAGAACTTGGATGCAAGGCCGAGACTTATTTATTCATTTTCCATTTCATTTAATTAAACTTCCACTGCGTAAAATGAATAACAATAATGCAAAAATTGAAAATAACCAGAATAACTAATTAATAAATAGCAATAATAGCCAACAATAAAATCTCAGCCAGGGACATCACAACAGAGAACGCTTCAACTAGGTGAAAGCCCATGAAAAAATAAATATACCAAAAAAAAATTCTTTTTTCGATGGAATTTGTGGCATTTCTTTTGTAATTTAATGTAAGCCTTGCATTCAAGGATCAAAGACTTTCGTACGCGCGCAAATGGGAAATGATAGGAGACTGATTTCATTGCCTTCCATCGTGGTCACTCACTATATGGATTGTGATTATGATAAGATGGTTATACAAAAACACTTATGAGATACAATCTCAAAGCTAAGACATCACACGTGCTGTAAGTCAGTAACATGTCCTTCCAATCAGTACCAAAAGTAAAGGGTTCTTTTTTGATTGACCATTTAATCATTCCTTTGTTCATTCATCCTTCTATTTGCTCTTTCATTCGTTCGTTTGTTAGTTTATTTCGTTTGTTCGCAACTTTGTTTTCCCTGTTTGCTTGCTTGTCTGTCTTTTTGTATGTATGTCTTTCTCATAACTTTTTTTAATCTTTCTATCGACTGTTTTTGCATCGCTATCTGATTATCACTGTTTGCCTTTCACGGTGCGCAGTTTACGAATGACTAGTCTTCCTTTTCCAAAACCGTTTTGAATCCGGCAATCAATTAATGCATCCCTATAAATTGATCATGAATATACGTTCTTCCAATTGTCATACAAGGTAGCGGCAGAGAACCACAGATAATTTCGTTCTATAATTTATCGTTAATTATAATCACTGTAGATTGCCCATAGTTTTCTTCATAGACATATCGAAGCCGTTTAGAAGTAACATTTTTCATTTTTACTTTAGATAAAAGCTGCATCCCCAGGGCTATGAAGCACTGCCAAAGATGAATCGGAATCCTTTCAGACCAAACGACGCCTGTAAAATGTTTAACACTTCAAATGGACGTCCAAAAGGTATGCACGTACCTTATCTTAATAGTGAGAGCTTATAGTAGACAGAATGACCGAATATCAGTTATCAGTTATGTACTTGCTATTTGAATTGATGGTTAATGGAAACAGTGTCAAATATCAGAGCTTGGATCGTTATCTGTTTTATCGTGAAACGGTTAAATAACCTCCTGTTAACTTTGTCACGATCATGTCTGGAAGCCGTTTGAAAAAAATATATATTGAACCGAATCTTATTTTCTGATATTTTTCTTCTTTATTTACATATCAGAATATCAGAACCGTTGTGGTGATGTGTTATATTGTGGAAAGTTTTAACCTCCTGTTAACTTTGTCACGATCATGCTTGAAAGTAGACTGATTCCATAAGTCGTAGTTTTCGCTCGTTTTGGGGTTGTTGTGTTAGCGATATCCAGAATCGACAAAGGAGCGAAAACACCGACTTATGGAATAAGCTAGTCTGAAAGTTTGGTGCGGAAAATAAATTAAGAATTAAA